GAATTCGAGTGAAGGACTTAGGAAGGGATTGAAGGATCAAATCCATTTAAAGGTTGAAGTCCATAATTAAGTCTAAACCCTCTAGTTGCTTAATAACACTTATCATCTCATAGACATAAGCTCCAACATTAGTATCCTCATACATCTTTGTACGGAATAAGTGCTTTGATATCTCATACCTAACGGTTCTTTTGTGCTCACCATATAGCTCTTAAAAGTGAATAAGAATCGAATGTGAATCAATCATTTTTTCATGTTGCTTCCGTAACTCATTAGTCATAGAAGCAAGCATGTAACATTTTTCTTTCAAGTCATCAAGCTTCCACTTCTCAAATGTAGCCCGTTCCACATCAAAGGCCTTTTTAGGTAAAGGGCTAAGAATTGGCGTGTCGAGAAACATACGATATGTATTCTAATGCAAGAACTATTTTAAGGTTTCTCAATCTATCCAAGAAGTTAGGCCCTGTGAGCCTCTTAGCATAAAGTATGCTCAAGAGTGAGTTAGTGGGTTTCATTTTTTTTTTCAAATAATCTATAGAAAAAAATAAGATTAATTAGTTTATGTGATAAATAATTACCATAATGGTTTGATCTTTAATCAAGTATGATCCTTTCATTAATTTGGCAAATTCTACACTTCCAAGCGAGAAGATGAAAGTTCTATTAGGAAACTTATGGTAAGTGATTAAAAACCTCATAAAATTATGAACATCCCTTAGGTTCACAATGTCATACTTGAAACATTAATATTTTATGAGTGAACAACTCTTGCTCATCACATCTCATGTGAGGTTTAATCAATCCGGCTCTTAATGCTATAGACCTTAAGTTCACAATACCATTCTTGGCCTTTGACATTAGTTTAGCCTATTAACCATTGAATCAATAAACATATGGATTTGAACATTAAAAACCTCAAGTTCACAATGTCATTCTTGGCCTATAATGTATCCATATATCAACAACATCTCATGCTTAACAATAATAACTAGAAGATCTTTTAAGCAACTCTTTGTTTAAAACTTCTATAATTATTGTTTCAATGAAAAAGCTTAGACTTAATTTTTTATCGGAAGATTTTTTAAACTTTATTTTAGGTCTTACTTTGCACATTATCCATTTTATCATAAGCATCTTAAACGCATCACATACATATCACATATGCATAGATAAAGCAAAAAATATGATCTTAGACTATCTATGTACCCAATTCCTAGCCATAAGGAATAAAGTGGTGTTTAGGGTTAAAATTCTACTAAGTATGCTTTTCAACTCTTGAACTTCATACTCCTACTAGGCATCTTGATGGGTTGAGCCTCTTCGATCTTGCTTTTCAATGTCTTTCAAGTATATAAACATCTTTGACATAACCCGGGTGAAATTACAAACCAAAGAGCTCAAAAACGCTCGATAGATGATATTACAACAACCAAAAATAAATAATTAATTATCACATTCCCACATTGACAACAATCACACATAGGTTTCCTAAGTCCATGCTCATCCATTATGCCTTTCATTCGTCCAACACAAAGCATAAATATAAACAACTCTTACAAACATGCATGAGTTGTATTAAACATGAAACGATTTAATAAACCACTCAAATATTACATATTCAAGTAAATTTTGTTTAAATCTAATTATTTTAATTATGGATTTTTTAGAGATAAATATTCTAGAATATCACATATTCTAGTAAGGTCAAAAACCATTTTTGATTCATACTTAAAATCTGAACAAAACTTTCAAAACAATCAAAATTATTGAAACACAAACGCATCCGGAATCACCACTACTATAACGGTGACTTTGAGTTAGCATATCTCCCACTAAGGAACTCCTTTTGAAGTGATTCCAATTTTTTTAGAAAGATATAGAATTTTAGTTTCATTAAAATAAAATTCATCAAATTCTAACTTAACATTTAGAAGTTATGATATTTCTACCATAGATTGTAAGAATTCAATTCTCATCGAAAACTACATGCATGAGTTTGATCTCATTAAACAACGATCAATCTAACCATGTGTCATAAAAACATTCATACTCTTAAATAACATAAGAATGGATTCTAAATATGAATTAGGTGGCTCGATACCACTTGAAGAAAATGATGGGAGGGCGCGACAAAAGCATGTTGAATTTCAAAAGAATTCCAAAACACAAATAATAGATGTGATCTCATCACACCTTAAGTAGATATCTTATAACCTATAACTCAAAAATCAGCTAAAGTATATTTAGATCACACTTACAAGACTTAATATCAAATAATAGAAAGATTACCTTTTGTAGTGCGGAACCAAGAAGTTGGTTTTTGTCTCAAGCTCCGTAAATATGAAGCCTCAGTCCGTCGACATGAGCTCTATATGACCGAGCTTCGGTCTAGGACTTGGTTTGTTAGTTTGATCTTCTCTTTCAATTTTTCAAAATTGATCTCTAGCTCCCATCAAGCGATCTAGCTTAAAGTGATAAAGGGTTATTATTTTCATTTTAGCTAAAGTCATGTGTCTTACACTTAAAGAATTAGAGATAAGAGAATGCAAGACATTCATCCATTGTTTCTAGCTTGCTCTTTTTTTCATTCTTTACTCTCTCCACTAACTTATCTTGGGTGGGGAAACTTGGATGCATGAGAGATGACAAGTGTCTTTCATAAGGACATTTGTTCATCATGCATGTATTGTTCATGACACATGTCAATCATACATGCAACAATCAAGATACTTCTTGATTACACATGTACATTATGCATGCATCAATTAAGACACATAATCTTTCATTAAGATTATGTTAATCTTCCACTAAGATTATTTAGATTAATTCATTAGTTGACCTAAACTTAATTACTTGCCATTTATATGTAATATAAATCGAGTCATAATTAATTTATCCTAACTTTGATTAAATTTTAGGATATGCTAGAGACCTTGTAAACTTATTTGCAAGTTTAACCCTATTATTTTTTATTAATTAATTAAATAATATAATTATTAATCATAACAATATTTGCTCATTTGATAAAATCTTTGATAAATAACTTTCATATAATAAATATATCTTTTTATTGCTATAAAGGGATAATTATTTACAAATCACATAATACATATGGCTCTTGGGCATACACATCTAACACTAAGGATATTACAAACTTTAAATTTTTTATATAATATTTTATATTAACTCTAATTTTATTGTACTGTTTTAAAGGATCAAGAGCCTTTATATAAAATTTCTTAAATACAACCTAACTTGTTATATAGTTGTGACACGAGACTTCTAGTATTAACATTTTTCCTACTAATACTTTAATGAATCCAAAAATATTAATAATATGTTTTGTTTGTGTTATAATTTATTGATATTACATTCTATATATTATAATCTATTAATGGGTCATGAATTTTAATAAATTTGAAATAAGAAAAACACATTGATATTAATTAATTTCTCTTATTGAATGATAGTTCTTAACGACTAATAAAATTTTTACTTGATTGAGAAGTGGAAGTAGAGCATTTTATTTCGTTAGTTTTATTATCATTTTTTTTAATTATTATTGGCATGCATGAATTTTGTTTATATAAAAGTAGATTTCTTTCCCCATAAAGTAGGCATATTATATGCTAGATTACTTGATTAAATGTGTAATAGGAAAAGAAAATCCTATTTTAAACTTACAAACTCAAATTTCATTTAATATTTGGGAGGGAACAATCTAATAATTTTAAATATTTAGGATATGTTTGGTATAAAGGTAAGTTTTAATGGGGATAACATTTGACCCAAAAATAAAATATTTTTTAAGGGAGAAAAATGTTGAAATTTGTGCATTTCCCTAACTTTTTTATTTGTATTTAACATTTTTTTCTCTTCTTCTTCTTCCACTTCTTACTTTGTACCTACAAATATAAATTATTTGATATTTTATAATAAAATAAATTGAACTTCATTTGACTTATTATGAGAATCACTCGTAATCCTCATAATTTTCCACTTCCACCAACACCCTTTAACATTTATCCTTTAAAGATAATCTATATTCTGAATACTTCATTTGTTAAAAAATCTTGAGTAAGTTAGATAATAAGTTAAGTGTGCTATGAAGGAAATTTGTAAGTGTTTTCAAGTGGAATTTGTATCCCACATTGGAAAGAAAGAAGAGGTAACTTATAAAGTGGACCTCCGATAAAACTTTCAAATATTTAGTTGAAGGAATTGGAGGAAAAACTAAACTAATTAGTTGTAATTATATATATAAACAATCAAAGACTAGCACTTTGTGCTTGTGTGATGAAGGAATTTATTTTTATTTCTTAATTAATTACATTTTCTTAATTTTCTATTGTAGTTGGTTAGTTATTAACATCTTTCAATCAAACATAATAGTTGACTGCTAGAATCCAACAGCTATGATTGTCAAAATCTAATTGTTAATCGAGTTAATTTAATAGAGGATTACTTGCATAGGATAAATAATTAATTTTCTTTGCAATCCTCCTCTCGCTCTTAAAATTCTTTTCCTTCTAAAACTCTACAACTTTAAAAGATATTGTCTTGAAGGAATTCTATGAGTACTGCCTATAGTTCCTTGTGTACGTAAATTGTATCCTATAGATGAATTGCCTTTTGTTTTATAGAAACTCTACTTTTGTACATGTAGTTAAATGATGAAATTTTTATTTCTTAATTGGATTTAAATTTGAGATGATAACATCAAAGAAAAAACTTATTATAACCCTAGTCAACATGATGTTAAAGATAAATTTTTAATAATTTGATGGCATATATCCTTCCCGGAAGCATCGCAAAGAGGACAGAAAACAAGTTTGGTATCATGGTTCCGGGTGTTTGAACCAAGATTACACAAGCCAACAAGTGCATTTATATAAAATCTTGCAATATTTGTTCTTTTGGCTAAATGATAAAGGAGTGGAATTATCCTATATATATATATATATATATATATATATATATTCGTTATCAATATAAATCAGCCAAACAGTGATTTCAGTATCCATTAGGGGCGGACCACTAAAGGGGAAGACGGCTGGGACGATCGCTATGGCCAATGGCGTCGGGGTCCCACAATGGTCTGCTTGGCATTACAGGAGCAAGCCTGAATGCCTTGGCTATTCAATTGGCTTGTCTCTTTTGTCTAGGACGAGAGAGAGAGAGATCATGAAGGAGATAGAAGGTGACCTTGATTTCTTTTGATAGCGTCCTCGTCTCTTAGTCACCAAGAAATGGGTTGTCCCAAAAAGAGACCAAATGACTTGATCCCACTTGTTATTTGTTTTGGACTATAGTTTGCATCGACCCCCTTTTGATCGAGTTAGACCTCCCTTCTTTGAAACATGGATATTTCAAATTTCTTTATATTGTTCTATATACAAAATTATCCAAAATTTATAAACAATTAACCAATATTATTTCAGGTACGGGCGTACCTGATTATACTTTGAAAATATTTTTATAAATGTATTTCATACCTCGTGAATGCTTCATTAATACAATTTTACTATTTTCATTACTGAAAAAAAATATTTTTTCAATAATTTGTACATAATTAGTTTTCCTGTATATATTTTTTTCACATTAAACTAATGTAATCCACTATAATATAGATACATAATAAAAAAATATAATTGAATAGATATGAATTTTAATAATGAATCCATTAGCTAGGTATCAAATCTAATTAAACTTTCAAAAAACTCAACATATTTGTATCGTGTGGTATTAATTATATTTCATTCTTGCCTACTTTAATTCTAATTAACGAATCTTAATAAGAAAGAAAAAAAAGAAAAAGAAAAAAAAGGAGCAATGATATGAGCAGATAATATTTCTAGAATTATAATTCAGGAATAAGTTCAAATCATGCATGTTCTTAGTTACTGCCTTTAACCCTTTCCTCGTTTCATTTTAAGGAACATATATGGCTATTAATTAATTAAACCTCTAATATTGCTAGAATTATAATTCAGGAATAAGTTCAATGACATATCTTTTATGACTACTATTATTATTCGGGAATAAGTCAAGATATCCTCTTTTGATTGACCAGATAATATCTCAAACCAATCATTATCCTAAAAATTGAGACGTGGGTGTTATGTGTACATCCTCTCTACTCCATTGATATATCAAATTAGTTATCATATCTGCTAATTATCATATCAACCAGGTGTTTTTTTTTTTTTTGAAAAAAAAATAAATTTGAAAATTAAATAAAACTAAAACACTAGAGGCGTTAACGTATCTAAAACCAATTATTAGACATGCATGGGTGTTATGTGTATCTTCTCTGCTCAATTGTCATATCAAATTAATTATCTTATCAACCAGGTGTATTTTTTTCTTTGGAAAAGAAGAAGAAGAAGAATTAATCTAAAATTTAAATAAAACTAAAACCTAGAGGCAGTAACACAACTCCAAAATTATTTTCTACTAAAATATAAAAAGAATTGAAAACTTACGAGGGTTTACTAACTGCCGCACATATTTCACATCAAAAAATAAATCACGAGATAGTTAACATTGTCCAGACAGTTTTAACTGTCTCAAAAAATCATTTGATGGGGTTTAACTGTCGTCAAATAACCGTTTAAAAACTCAACAGCAATTGGGAAAAATACCGGTAGGGTTTAGAGATGGCAACATTACATACAGTTTTGAAATGTTTTATATAACTGCAACTAGAGTTTGTAGAGACGAGTATAACCATCTCTAGTAGACCAAAAAAAAAAAAAAAAAAAAAAAAACGGCATGTATTGCCATATTTTGGTGCGGTGAAATGCATGTGGACGCAACTTTATCCTTCTGAAGAAACTAAAATTTACATACATAGAAGAGAGGCAACATTAGGATCATCGTTCTAATCAACTGATCTTCGTTGCTGCTTGATAGTATATGAACTCATTAAGACACCCATTTGTCCAACTTGCTGACTAGTTCTGGCACAAATTGCTGTTCATGCTCTCCAATTTCAATTTTCAAAGGGCAAGTAGACCTTACTGCTGTGGATTTTACGCTGACCACCAGTCTTGTTTCGATTAATAAAACAGGATCAAATTTTTTGTTCAGTTTAACACCATTTATATTGGGAAGAAAACAAATACTGAATTTGGAAACCTAAGCACCCCACTGAAATATACTGTACAGGAAATCCTGGGACCATAACCTGAATATCTGTCTGCTTTAAACACAAATCATATATGGTATCATGGTGTGTTTCTTCATGAACATAAACCATCGCAATCCAAAAAGCATTATAATAGTACGTATTATATACAAGTGACAAGGCATTTGTAAGCCTGCTTCTTGGAGAGGAAACATCTTCGTACGAATTGCAACATTTTGAGATGTCCCCTAGCAATCTTAACCCCAATGTGGACCACTCACTAAAATATTGGGCCATTACTACGAATTGGCTGATACTGCAATTAGATTTTGGGCCTTTGGAGCTTGCTTGGATTAGTCTGGTGCTTATAATATTTGGGCTTCTAGAAACTGCATAAGCAATCCTCACCATGCTAGATGGATATATTGGGCTTCAAGGCCCATTTCAACCCCAAAGTTGATACACGAGGAGAGATCATCATATTTAGTGCTGTCACAATCATATAAAAATGGGATATGTATGTGTTTGTGTGGTGATTTGGAAAAACTATTTTATAAAATTAGTATTACATATATTAAATATATATTTTTTTTATAATCACAGTAGATATGGATTCGATTTGTTTACTAATAAGATCGAATCAGATTTTATAAATTTGAATTCACGTTTTTTATTCAAATTCAAATTTTAACTAATGCGGATCAGATTAAGACATCCATTTGATTTATCGTTCAATTATTTTCTTAAAAAAATGTTGGTTACATTCAAAATAATACTATAATGTACAATAAGTTTCAACTATTACATACATAAGAAAAATAATGATATTTAATATATCAATTAAAAAAATCTAAATGTCTCACCATTAAAAAAAATCAAATAATCTCGATAAAAATTTATATTAAATGCCATAATTAATTTAAATTAAGTAAGAAGTATGAGTTAAAGAAAAAATAATAAAATTGTCTACTTTATGTACTACTTGATTGGCATGAAAGAAAATCTTATTATTTTACAAATAACAAGTTTAAAATGAAAACAAAAAAGAAAAGGAATCAATATTTTATAAATTAGAAATACATGTAAAACACCAGAAACATCTTATTAACTTATTATATATATATATTTATAGGATTTATCACAAAATTAATTTGAGACTTAAAAAATGATTGAAAAGAAATTATGATGTAATTGTTTGAAGTTAATGTAGATTAAAAAACAATTGAAGTATAGGATCTTTCTTAGCATGAAGAATCTAAACCCAATGACATTTTTTTTATATGTTTTTAAAAATATTATATTTATTAGAAATGATATTAAAATTAATTTTGTATCAGATTATTATCGGATATTTGATTTATTTAATACACAAGTTAATAAATTTATATCGTGATCGAATTTGAATAATAAAAATTATATATTGAACCTATTTAATTATATTGGGATTAGATCAAATTAGGATTAAAATCCGATCCACTACATCCCAAATTATTTCCCTTGCGTGGCTCTAAATATAAAATTTATTTTTTTATTGTTTATTTCATTAACACATTTTTATATCACAAAAAAGATTACTATAAACTAATTGATTACGAGGCCTTGTTGTTGGAGGGCCAGGTGTAGGACTTATGACACTGACCCATTGGCCCATTTTAATGTAAATGGACCAGACCCAGACAGCTAAAATTCTACATGATTAAGCGATTTTACTTTCAAAATCGTGAACCGATTAGAGTGGAGAGGAGGAGCTATGGAGCAAGGACCTATCCCTACCCCATCTATCACTCAATTCTTAATAGGTCCTCAAACAAAAACAATTTTCAATTCTGCTCCCTATCATCTAGCATAACCCAATTAACCCTCTTCTCAAAATTTATTCCTTCTAAAAAAGTTAAAAAAGGGTGCTTTGTATCCTCTCAAAACGCACCTTTCGTCATAAATTTCAGTGGTGGGGTTAATTGGGTAATGGCTGATAGATGGGATCCAATTGAGAATATTTTTGCTTAGGAAACCATTTGAAAATAATTTAATAATTGAGGGATAAATATGATGTGCCTTAAATAATAACCAACCGTTCGAGTAAAGGGACTGATTTCAGAGTGTGGAACTGTGGAGGTAGAGTAGAAGAAATTGATCGATGCCTTCTCTCTTTTGCTTTAGCGTTTAGCTTTTCCTTCTCCTTCTCCAGATCCAAAAGAAAGAAAAAAAACTGACACCAGGAATTATCTTTCATTTAATTTTAAGTAAATAAAAAAATGAGGTTATTGCAATTAGGCTTCTTCCTAGCTTTAGCTTCTGGTCTCTCTGCACTTCTCATCTACATCACCGGCGTCTCCGATCTACGTACGTGTTTTCATTCATTCCTTTCCACGTCTACCTATACCCATACGTACATTTATAACTCTCTTAATTTTCTGTATTTTGATTTTGTACGGTAATGATTAGATACGACCAATTCGCTATCGAATCAAGATTTGGAAGCGTTGCAGTCTCTACAAAACGGTTTCAAGAAGTGCGTGGTAATTTTTTTTTTTTTTTTTAATTTTTTTTTTTTGAGTAATTTGAATTTAGTCTAGAATTGAACTATAATGTATAGATTTGTTTGAATTCGGTGGTGTTTTTAACTGGTGATTTGCTAATGTTTGCAGAGTGTAAATGGATTAGGTTTACAAGCTGTGGCTACAGGAAGTGATTACTGTCACGTTACTATACATTTTCCTAGTTATACTGTCCCGAAATGGGTATCATTTCTTTCTCTCCGTTTTTTTTTTTTTTTTTTTTACCCTTTTGAGTACTTTAAAATTGGTTGTTTATGTCTTATTTTGCGGTGGAACTAAGATTTTTGGTATTAGCATTATGGTATATTCGAAAGTGAAATTAACTGATAATGGATTGTGGAATGGTAAGTAATTTTGGGGGCAAAATTTATAATTTTTGTGGAATGAGTACGGGTAAATTTAAAAATTTTAAACATTTTGAGGGTGCCATTCCTGTCCCTGTTAGTTGATGATGGTTGCAAATGTAAGTGTGGGTATGTGATCTCAATGAATGTTTGATGTTCTAATTGTAAACAGAAAGATCCAAAGACGGGAAAACTTGAAGGATTATCGTTCGAATTTAATCTATGTGAAGCTGTGGCTACTTGGGAACAGGTGAGTATTGCTTCTTATGTGTGTGCTTTCATATAAGTTTTGTTAACCCAGCATTCCGGCTGTGTTGCTGAGATGTTGGGTGTTGTGTGGTGTTGTTATGTTTGAATTTTAATGTGATGTACAATTGATTTATTATATAGTGAGTTGTTTGTCAGGTGCGGAATAGTACTACAATACTCACGAGGGAGTTCATTGATGCTTTACCGAATGGATGGGAGGACTATGCATGGCGTAGGATCAATAAAGGAGTACTTCTGTATGTATTTTTAATTTGCTAGTGTGTTTTTTTCTTTCTTTATTATTATTATTTTTTTTTGTTGAAAAATTATATTGGAATGATAGGGATGGTAAAGCAATGACTTGAACTAATCTTCTACATAAATTACTAGAAGAGATAATTCATAGAAGAAATGGAGAAAATGTTAAAGTGGTGTTCATAACAGGCATCATTCATTAAGATAAATGTTTAGTTGTCACAGAAGTGATGGAAATATTTTAGGTTTTCTCGGAACAGAAATTAAAAGTTCATCTCTTGTTCAGATGTCTGAAGTTTTATATTTATATTACTTTTTAAAAAGTTTCTAGTAGTTCCCAGCGAGACTTATTTTTATTCCTTAATTTTGACAAAAACAGTTCTCAAGGAATGGGTTGTTTGTTTGGTTTTGATGTTTAATTGTGTTATTGTGAGCTTCTAGGACTATTGACTGTAAGCTGGACTCTGATGTGCTTCATTTATGTAATGCAGTAACCACTGTGAGAACAGAACTTTATGCTTGGAGAAACTCTCACTAGTTCTCCCTGAGACACCACCATATGTTCCGAGGCAGTTTGATCGATGTGCTGTTATTGGTAATTCTGGAGATCTTCTGAAAACAAAGTTTGGAAAGGAAATTGATGATTATGATGTTGTTATTAGAGAAAATGGCGCCCCAATTGAGGTTAAGCTCTTTTTTTTTTTATTGTCTGCGATCTAGTTGCTTTTGCCACCTTTGAAATTTGTTGACTTTTTTCCTTTTGTTATTTGTTATGGCAGAACTATACAGAATATGTGGGCAAGAAAAGTTCATTCCGTCTTCTTAACAGGGGATCTGCTAAAGCCCTTGATAAAGTTGTAGAGTTAGATGGTATGTGCACTAGTCCACTTCTTACCATTCCTGTCATGTATTGTTAGAATACTGATATTCTAAATCCTACAGCAACAAGAAAGGAGGTCTTGATAATCAAAACAACAATACATGACGTTATGAACAAGATGATTCGGGTTTGTGTTCTCTCTTCTTTTTTACCTACATTTTCTTCCCTAAGTTTTATCTTTCACCAAAACTTGTTCTTATGGTAGCCAATATAGTCAACTTGATAAATGATGTTACTTTATTTTGTAAATTTGACCTTACATAGAAAAGTTAAAATTTGCTGATGAATTTCAGTTTTTGGCTTCAAAACTCATGCAGGCCTATGCTCTACCTATAACAACCTGCTTAGCAGTCTAGTTAGCTTTTATCTTGATTTGAGTGCAAAATGATGAAGTTTATATAACTTCTATTAAACAGAATTGATGCCATTGCAATTTTTTTTTTTCCAACCTTATGACCTTGTCTAACCCTTTTCATATAGGTTTTGCATGTAAAACCTTGTAACGTGTACTAAACCTGATCTTACTTTATGGAACTACTCACAGATTTGATTGTTGTGCTCTGTTTTAGTTTATGCCTGGAGTATCTGTCCTTTCGTTATGCAATTTGGCTTTCGTAGTGCCATCATAATCAACGGTACCATATTGTTATGAAGACTTACCTCATTCAAGTTTCATTCTTATCAGATATTTGGTGTAGAATTTTATAAATATGCCTTTTATTACATCTGTTTTTTTTTTTTTTAAGGAAACTGTCCAATGAGTAGAATTTTATAAACATGCATGTATACTTCTATTATTTCTGTTTTTACAGGGAACTGTCTAATGAAAATTAGAAAGGCCTTTCTCTTCTGCTGCTCTTGCTGGCTTGACTTTGCCTTTTTTCTTCTGTAGGAAGTCCCAATAAACAATCCTGTATATCTCATGTTAGGTGCATCTTTTGGATCAGCAGCTAAAGGAACTGGACTCAAGGCTCTTGAATTTGCTCTCTCTATGTGTGAGTCAGTTGATATGTATGGTTTCACTGTGGATCCAGGATACAAAGAATGGTATAAAAATGTTTCAATGGTTATATCTTGCAAAGAGTTCTTCCCACAATTTTATTATGGAACCTGACCAAGGAACCTTCTGTTATTTCAGGACAAGATACTTCTCAGAATCCAGGCAAGGTCACACTCCTCTACACGGAAGGGCCTACTACCAGATGATGGAGTGCTTGGGTGTAAGTTCACATGAACCCTAAATTTCTTTTTCTTGTTTTTTGGAGGTCAAAATCTTTTAATTATGCTCATATTGCAACTGTAAGGTGTAAAGTCACCATTTATTGTCCCAATGCATTCTGTATGGAAGGCTTGAGTGTCAATCCTTTTCTTTTTCCCTTTTAACTATAGACTGTATGTTGGGCTTCAAATATGATTAAATGCTAGCCTTCCAATCTTAAATAACTAGATGTTTTAATAGGTGAAATCCTGTCATTAGTCATTGGTGCATTTCTTTACTTGTCTGATAGCCTCTGCTTGTGGTTTGTTAAGCTTATCAAAATCCATTCTCCTATGCGAGCTGATCCAAGCCGTGTTGTCCATTTGGTACCAAGCCAGAGCACAATTACAGCTGCTAGAATTGCATCAGAGAAATTGCTGAGGTATTCATTGTTGCTCTTTTACTTTTGTGTTTCTTCAAATAGTTATCAAATTGCCAGAAACATGTCATGAATCATGCCGTTGCAAAACAATGGCAAGGGACGTAGCAATGATCAGTTACCTCAAAGTTCAACCATTTTCATGTAATGGATGTACTAAAATTTGTTGCTGTAATACACACAGTTGAAGATGAATCCAAAGTTAGATACTTTTTTTTTTTTTTTTTCAAATCACCCTTGAACTTATACAATGTTGTAGAGGTAATTTTATTAAATTCTCCAAACACAGCTATACATTTGGCCCCTCAGTTTACAAGTTCCGGAATCGTCCCTGTCGAAGTCAGTGGTTGCCATGCTAAGGGTGTGCTGCTGGCTTTGTTAAAATTAAACTATTCAACCTGAGAAAGAAGGAATTATTTGGTCAAGTAAAGATGCATTAGTTCACAGTTTTTGGCAAGGGAACTTGCCTAATATCATAAGATTAGCATGTGATTTCATTTTAGCATCGGGATATTGGATTTTCATTGATTCATGTCCATTGATGATAGGGAACTTGCCTTATATTCTGAGTGTGTTGAAGTGGTGACATCTTCATCAGTTAAAAACTGCTTTCTATGCACATATGCTAAGCACTTTATTTGTGTTGTAGGAGGGTTGGAGCAGGATCTGAAGACCCACTGCGTGCATGCTCCATTAGAAAGAAGCTAGCTAAAAGAAAGTCTACAGCCGTTTTTGGTCTCAGAAAGGCTGCTGTAGATCATCAAAAATTCGTTAAAGGCACAACCATGTATCCTTTGGAGCACCATCCTGGACACGGTCTGCTTTGCACACTTCCAACAGATTGATAAAAGAAAACTAGAGTTGCACGGAAATAGGTGACTGAATTTGTTAAGTTATTGGTCAATACAAACCACAAACTAGCTGCTGTACAAGAGAAGAGGCTGCCGAAGATTTTGGAATCGGAGATAGTAGGCCAACCCATCCAGAAATCTTTCAACTAGGAGTATGTTGTCCTTTTATTGCTTCTGTTCACCAAATTTTTCGGTTTATCCATAGTCAAAAGGCAATGCAAATGTCAGTGAAAATCATTTTTTTTCTTCTGAATTTTATGCGTAGCCTCATTATTCTTTTGACCAAGAGCATCTGTCCAATCAATTTTCCCGTAGTCCCTTAATAATTTCCTCTCTTGTTTTCCCCCTTGTACTCGTCTCTCAGTTTGTTTTTATGATACTAAACAAGGAAAAACTGGTTTCTCCTGTCAAATATAGTAGTTTTTACATTATTCTTTGTATGTGATTCTAATGTTGCATATTTGCAGATCTTCGCTAATAGCTATTGATATACGAGTAGGACGCCCTTTCCTTTTAATTTCTTCGAATTCCCATGCAGTTGTTTGCTAGGTCTCGAAATTCTTATGGAAGCATCAAATTGGATATAATACATGGCTGAATTCTCAGTCTCAAAATAAATTTACTACTCTACTTTCCATTTTTAACGGTTCCGCTTAAAGTGTTCGCTTTAAAAATTGTCAGACTTTTCCTTATTATTTTTCTTTTTACCCATTTTCCTAATTGTTTAGTTACGTGTACAAAAACACATTTTTACAAATGAGAACATGCAGCTGTATTAAAAATTAACAATATAAAATGGGTATTCTAGCCATGTGTGTCAATTAAAATAATAAATTTTTTAACATAAATAAATCAAGAATTTCTTACAATGTGCTCTCTCGTTAATGTTTTAAATTAACGTAATTGAAAGCTCATATAATAAACTTTAATTTGATATATATGTTTTATATTTTTAAGTTAACATAATTGTTACAAGGCGATTTCTCAATAATCACAAAAATAAATGTGTTGAGAAGTAAAGTTGCTATTCATTTTTTTTTTTTTTTTTAAATGTGAAAACTAAGAGGAAAAAAACTTAATAAGCTGGTCTAAGAATTATGGTTAAGAAAGTTGACTACACATTAGAGAAAACAACGATTACTCTAATATACTCTCTTAATGAGGTTATTATTCAATTCTAACTTTGTGATTTTCTTCATGTAAAGTCCAATTAAATGTTCATTTTTCTATTAAGATTTATAAGTTAATTATTGAGGCTTTCTAAGCAGTTCTAAATGAAGTGATTGGGAGACAAAGACGAGACTAAGTCTGTCACTTAAATTAATCATTGGGTAATTGAAACCCAACTGAAAGGACATATATCAAGACTTAAGACCTTTTAGTGAATTAGATAACCAAATTCTAACATCATACATAAAGAGACAAATTAAAATGACTATGAACCACAAGCCCAACTCTTTGCCAAACCATACAATAATACAATAAAAAAAAGTCCAAAACAATATAAATATGGAACTCCAACCTATATCAGCCAGCCAAATCATTTAAACATAAATAATTGAGTGACTTATAACCCAAATATGCAAGAAGACAAAATTAGTGACATAGAAAATATAAAAGAGAATTAAATTCAAACCAAATAATAAGAAAAAAAAATAAGACTAAGAAAAAGTTTTATCATTAGAATAAAGTTGGTTTCAAGTTTTAACCCTACTTTACCTAGACTTATCTAAATTGACATCAGTCAAACAAATAAGAAAAAACACAAAAATACAAATCAAATAATGACAATTTCATGAAAAGTAATTGACCTCCACTAGATCCTTCGCCTATTCGATCTATTTTACTTTTCCACCATAAGAAAAAAATAAATGTTAGACTATTGCTAGCTTCATTATCAACCAATAATTTCTCTATGATTTTATTAAATAAAATAAAATTATATATTACACGAGTATCACCCTTTTACCTTTATTGAGTATATATACATGATAAAACTTTAAAATGTCAAATACTAAAAGTTCACACAAAAATCACATGTGCATATCCAAAAACATATAAAAAACACCTTAATCAATTTTTTTTGAATTTTTATTTGTTTGTTTACAAACTCACACATATGTATAAAATAAAATAAATCAAAATAAATACCAAATAATATTATAAAATTATGAAATTTGAAATAGAATTTACAAACACATTTGTTTGAAACATACTAAAAATTTAGATAGAAATAACATAAAAAACCTGACCGAATTAAAACAAAAAAGTCTCTATTTGTAATAATCTGTCAATTCAACCCATGTCTCAAATATATTATCAATTAATCAACGTCTCAAATCGATTCAATTGACCAATAAATCAACCAAAGTCATCAGAATAATCTTGTCAAATCAAATAAGTAATAAATAAAATAAGAGATAGGAACTTGTTACTTTAATTTACCAAATATGAAACTAAATTAAAATGAATAAGAGGAATTAAGGACTACACTGTAGGACAGTAATAAAATTATTTCGGACTTCCAATTAAATTTAACACACAGGCAAGTGCAATCAAGGACTTGAAATCATTTTATCTCCAATTAATGAAAATTCAAGTAATTTCGATTCAATTATCATCTAAAATTTTTATTAATTACATAATTATTATTACTAGAACATGGGTTAATAAAATAATCATGTAATATATCAATTTTGTATAAAAATTGAATTAAAATTGACAAAAATGAAGAGGTTTAATAACCTAAATCTGGACATCAGGGACCAAAATGGAAGAAAAGAGACGCTGGACAATGCAGACAAAGAAGGTGCATGCGGGCTCCAAGGAGGTTTGATTGACTTTGTTCCAATGGCATTAAGATTGCCCCCAAGACAATTTCAAAGATAAGAAGCATGTAGATTGTGGAGCGACGGTCGAAGAATGACAACGCCTTGTTTCTCTCCCCTGTTTTGCCCTTTTGTTTGCATGTTTTTTTTTTCTTATTTTTTCACTAGGTCTGCTTGTCTGTCTCTTTTTGTTTTGTGATTTTTTTTTTTTTTTTTGGCTGTTGTGCCTGACTTATGTGTGGTATTTATATGGTCTTACCTAGAGTGTATTTTTTTTAGGTTTTCCTTTTCTGATTTTTCTTTATTTTTTTAAATTAAGCTGAATTGGGTTCTAGACCTAAAGCTTAGCACGCTTGAGCTAGGTCTACCCAAGCCTCCTCTTTTTTTTTTTTTTTTTTTCTATATTTTTATTTTTTTTATTTTTTTTTCTGATTTTTATCCTAGTTGTGTGGGAGGTAAAAATGAGATGATGACAGTTATCTTTTTTTACAAGGTTTATGTATGAAAGATGTAGAAAGAGAAGTTTTTATACATCTTGACCTAGTAAGCTTTGTTAAAAAAATAGACGTGACAATGAAAATAATTGTTAATTGTTATAGGGTGACCTCCGGCTTTACAAGAAATGATGACAAAGTTGAGAAATAAACCTTTTATAGGTGCTTTGGTTTTGAAAATAAATCAAACATATGAACCTTCTTGGGATGAATTGATTTTATAAAAGAAATTCACAAATATACAAACCTTCTTGAAGTGATTTGATTTTAAAAAACAAAAGCAATTAAATACATGATTTCTCTTAGAAAGATTTGACTTTAGCAAAAAAAAGCTAATTAAATATATGAAGCCTCTTGGCGTGATTTGATTGTGAAAAATAAAGTCCATCAAATGTACTAACTTTCTTGGGGTGAAGAAAATTCATCAACTATACTAACCATCTTGGGGTGAAGCAAATCCATCAAGTGTACTAACTCTCTCGGGATGATGAAAATGCAATAAATATAAAAACTCTCTTACGATGAAGAAAATTCATTAAATATACTAACTCAAGTGAATATTTGGAAAACAAGTGAAATCAAATTTACGAATACTCTTGGAATGTTAGAGTAACTAAAATATGACTTTTTGCTTTTGAATATGTTCTTGAGAGAGAGAGATTAGTCGACTATGACAAGTCGACCTCCTATTTTTGAAAGATAGTTGGTTCACTAAGATAGGTTAACCTTTTGGCTTGAAAAGAAAAATTGGTTTACTAAGGCGAGAATGACCACTTGAACACTTTTAAGAGACCAATCATCTTGATAAGATGACCATTTGGATATTTTCAAAAGACTAGCTTATAGAGAATTATCTTAGAAGGAAAAGATTTGCCTTCCTCAAGTTTGAGTTTTCTTTATTTGCAACAATGATGGACAAGGGATTTGTCGAGGATAGTGCCTCTATGAAAAATATGGGTCACACTTTAAAAAGGTCTACTTTTTGTCTCGAATTTGAAAAATCAGCTCAAGTCTTGTGTCTTGGCTGCTAGGTTGATATAACTTTTTGAAAAGATTTTATAGTGAATGTATATATTTTAGATATGTTTTTGTTTCACTTTGCCTACATGAGTGTGAAATAATGTCTCCGTATCGTTGGATCATACTACATCTCATAAGCGTCATGATTGGTCTATGTAAAGGTCATGGAATTGTCTTTATACCTTGTTACTAATTGTTGAATCAAATATTTAATTGTTCATGCACCTCTTTTAAATGTCAATAAGTATCGAACCAATGCTTTCCCTCAAGCTATGTTTTGTTATTCTAACCAATGTAGATTTGGTTTATTTTGTCCTTGAAGAACACTTAATATCATAGTCTTGCCTCCTTGTTCAACCATGATACCATGAATCGAATTGTTTATGTGTCATCCACCTATCCTTTGGTTTAGTTTTATTCAACCCACTTGATTTAGATAAAGCATTTCAATGTTATCTCTAACAACATGCTTATTTAACCCGATAACTCATACTTTTACAAATTTAGGTCAATTTGAGAAAGAACTTTATTGAAACTAGTCACTTTGTTTTGAAGACCAAGTAACAAGTTTTAATGACATTCTTCTAATCAATCTAAATTATTACAAAGAAATCTTAAAATATGCATTAAAAAGTATTCTTATTCATGAATT